ATCAAAGAAGACTCCACAATAGTAGAGAAAACATAGCAACATATCAAAGAATCAATTAAGGCAGCAGTAGAATCCTTATTGATGAAAAAGTGAAGAAGGAAAAACATCAGCTCTATACATAAGTCTGAATACAAAAAATTTATGCAAAGATCACTCAAGATTGGTAGCTTATACAGAAAATGCTTAGCATGGAAAACAGATTCAAACTCACATACCCCTGCTATAGAAGTGCCGATCGCAGAACTGGTACAAGAAATCAACACACCAAGAATCCTTATAATAGACTCACCCTGTCTCAGCGGACTCAATGGATAGCAAAGAAGAACTTCACAGATGGCTATTAGAGACAAGAGAGATCTGAGAAATAGAGAATAAAATAGTCAAAATTATAATCAAGAAAGAAAAAAGAAGAAAAATCTGAAAATACATCAAACAAAGGTATAAAAATCTGAAGGAAAATTCAAAAAGAATGATCAATAGTATCTTAAACTGCCAACCAAAGTTTATAGACACTTAGAGACTGATAGAGTAGAAATCAGAAAATAAGGTTAAGGTTATCACTGACCCACTTACAATAAAGAGCAAAATTAAAAAACACTTCTAAGATTGGACAAGACCCAGACAAATACTTAATACAAAAGACTTCCCATATTGGGAAAAGCAGTACAAGTTCAAAGAAATAATTAAAGATAAATGGTTTAATAACGTGTCAGGTCCAATAGAAGCAATAAAGATCAAAAAGGCAATCCAAGGAAAGAAAAACTGCAGTGCCCCAAAACCATCAGGAATTCCATACATTGCACTTAAAAACCTGAGAGAGAAGGGAATAAAACCAATAGATATACTCTTTAACAAAATCATGAGTACAAGAAAGATTTCAAAAGACTGGAAAAAGGGAAACATGTACTCAATACCAAAACCCAAGAACTGGATGGGAAACATCAACATCACTTACCCTATTACACTATTAGAAACAACAAGAAAAGTATTCATGAGTATTTTAATATCAAGACTTGTGGCAATTTGCAATAAATATCAGATACTATGCATCAACAATTGGGCGGGACTACCTGGAAGAAGCACACAGGAGTCAATTCACATTATCAACAATATTATGGAGGAGATGAAAGAATTCAAAAAGAAGGCCTGGATCTTCAGTTAAGACATAAGCAAGGTATAGAATTCAATAAACAAAAATATAATGATCCAGGTACTAGAAGGAATCTGAGTGTCAAAAAACATAATCAAAATACTAAATAATACACTCGAGAATAGAAATAACAAGGTAATTACAATGCATGGCTTAATGGAAGAATATCTAGTACAAGACAGAATTGATCAAGAAGATACCATATTTCCTTTCCTCTGGAGAGTGTATTATGATTTACTATTACAAGAAATCGAAGATCACCACAGCAGCTATACAATAGAGACAGAAGTGTTACTAGACCTGACCTTACTGAGTTAGAAGGCAATTGTCAACAAAACAAGATGGCAAGCAAGGATCACAGCTACAGCATATATGAATGACATCACCTAATTTGCAAGCAACAAAACAGATATACAAGCTATCCTAAATAAAACAAATGAGTTTCTCAAGATAAATGATATACAAGTGAACAGTAAGAAATTATTCCTGATTTGTATTAACATACCTCCAATCCAAAGAAATGAAAGCATACAGCTCAATAGAACACAGATCTTTCCAGTACAGAAAAATGAAGCAATAAAAGTTCTAGGAATATAGATAACAGAGGATAGAAAGAAAATAAGGCAGAAGGATATTATTAAAGAAAAAGTAGACATCACAATCAGAATATTGGCCTGGAAGAAAATTACAGATAAACAGACATGATACATCATCAATCAGATCCTGTTTCCAGTGTCATGGGCTATCCCAACGAGTTTGTCACTAATCTGTAGCATCTTGCATAACCCAGATGTCTCACAAATACTTACAAAAAAAAGAATGCCTCATATAAAGAACATTTAGGGAAGGCAGAGGCATGATGATTGACTTGGCTGAAGGTAAATGTCTCTTTATTGCATTCTGTTTCTTTGAAAGGTCACTAACTTTTATCTCTATTCTCAAAGAGGACTGTTTTTCCTAATACTTTCAACTCTGCCTTTTCAGCATACATTGGTAAGCTATTTATACTTTTCTATCTAACAATAGCTATCTACTGTATAATCGGCTATACTAACCCTAAGCTTTGCTAAACTTTTTATACTTTTCAGATTCACACAGTTCTTTAATCAGTACCCAAGCCTTATCTATAGTTTTTTACCTTGTGACACTCAATCTTTCATGCCAAACTTTCAGGTTTTTGGATTCTAGACCATTACATATAAATGCGTCACCCACATAATCCATAACATCAGCAATTGAATATCTACTAAATGATCTAATCCTGTCAGAAAAAGAATGTGATAAGCTAAGTAGCAAGATAAACAAGACATTTAAACACAAAGCAGGCTTATCTTCAACAACTCTAAACAGTATTCTCTATGCAGATTTTAGCTACAAATTGTTCAACTTATGGAACCATCAAATCCTAATGTATGGAAAGAACCTAACGAATCGACTTAATAGTCACAACCTGTGTAAAATTACTACTCAAATAAGTCTCTAACAGTTACAAAACAACTACTGGTCAAATATCTCAATTCTTACCAACAAGTTGCCATTCTGGATCAAAAAAAGAAAAAATCTTACAAATGATATTCTAAATATAATGAAGCTACAAGGAATTATAATGGCACCAATAGCACATACATGGTTTGGAAAACCAGTCAAAAATGAGTACAAAGCAATCAGAGACATGGTCACAAAAGAATAATTCAACAAACACTGAATCTCCCTGAAGTTCAGAAGGATAATATTCAAAAACCAACTTTTGAATGATAATAAAACAAGGATTTTATCTTAGCAATAAATAAGAATGTGACTAGAGAAACAAGAAAGAATGCTCAAATATTACAAGGAAATAAAAGAACTAATCATCCAAAAATAGCCAACACTATTAGGGGAAAAGGAAGACACAAGTTCCAAAGAATATTACAGTGACAGTAGTCCAAATATCAATAGCTTCCGAACAAACTTCCAAGTGCTGTTAGCATAACATCAATTAACTCTGAAATGGTTAGCAATGAAAAAAGATGAAGAAACAATAATAATAAAGAAAAAAAGGCAACTAGATAAAAGAAAAGTGATAGTAATCCATATGGTTACTAAGAATGGGACATCATCAGTTTACAAGTGCAAAGGATACCCATTTAACAATCAAGACCTTAGAAAAAAGTATAAGTACCAACAACAATGTATAATGAAACAGCTTCTAACATATTCAGTAAATATTAGAATTAGGAAGAGCATCACCGGGATTTTTTCAGGACAGCAGGAATCAAACACCAGACAGCCATTAATCAATTGATTAAAATCATTACTGCAAGGTATGGAACTCACCATCAATGAAATCAGTAGACAGCATCCAGACACATACAAACTGAATATATATCTGGATCCACTGTCAACTACTGAAGACCTTATCAGAAGAAAGTTGCAAGCCCAAGACAGAATGATTAAAAGGTTACTATAAATAGCTCAACTACTAATATTAGAGGACAACCTTCAATTCTATATGGATAGCTCCTTCACAAGATGCAATATTAGAAGTAGGATAGGGATTGGATAGATGGTTCTTTTTGAGACAGGCTGCAAAATCACAACCTTTCAAGCAGAAACCCAGGATACCCCCTTCTCAACCAGAGCAGATTTGACTGCAATTCTCATAGCAATCAGTACAGTCAGCCCTAACAAGAAAATTAAGATATTTACAGACAACCAAGGTGCAATTAATGCAATAGATAGAATAGCACAGAAAGATCAAACCAAAGATCAAAGTTTAGAAAGGCCAAACAAACTCCTAGCCAGTACAATTCAAGAAATTATCATAACACAATGAACCAAGATCCAATGGATTAAAGTCAAAGGCCACTCAGGTAATAAATAGAATTAACAGGTAGATAAATTAGTAGCTACAACACTGGTGGACAAATTCAAAGACATTATAAAGATTTAGGAACTTCAGTCCACAAGTAGCAACACAATGCTGAGATGGGATCAGTCCTTCATAGACTTGCCCTTCAAAACATTGGGAAGAACTCTTTTGAAGACTAAATGGGCCAGTACTTTTCTCGTTTGCAAAAAATATTAAAGAGTTTTGTCGCGTATAACAGCCAATCAGAATACAAGATCAAGTAACGTGTTTTTATTTACATACTCCTTTTTTTAAAAAATCTCTGATCGTGTTCAAAATTCTTGCAGAGCTCGTCGCCTATCTCGACAGCAAGAATCCGTCTAACTGGTCCTTTTGTGACTTCTTTTCCTCAAATTTTGAAGTGAAGTGATCGTTAATTCGCCACCAGACACCAACGATATTAAGGGTCGAGCTGGCACTTGGTTAAAACGTTTCAAACTTGAAGTAGAGGCAAGAGGTCACCAAGCTTATAAGGTAAATATGTTTTAATTTTGTAGAAAGGCACCTTCTGCCAGGTAATACCTGAGACAAGAAGTATAAGTGATTTACTTGCCGAGTGCTAGGGGGTTTTTAAAAAATCTTGCCAGGTAGCACCTGAGTCAAGAGGATCAGTAATTACTATCCCTCCTATGTGCGAATTTTCTTTTTATTATGCTTTTTATCATGAATCTCGTGTGAATGGATATATTGTTTTACTAACTATGAATTACAAGCAACTCGTAAGGATAATAATATTAGTATACAAAAATTTTTTTCCAAAGTAGTTTCCGCTCGATTGGAGGTTGGTGATTCCAGCTTTGCTAATCCCTTTTCATTAGCATATTGACACTTTTAATTATGATTCTAAACATTAAAATAGATCGCACGACAACAAAATGTTGCAATTTTGAAGGTAGGTCTGAAACGATTTTATACCTATAATTAATAGAACTAATTCATAATCCACATAATTAATCGAAGGCTAAGATTATTGCGGACGAGCAAGGTAATAACCTCGTGGGAGCATCATGTGGATTTTACGGACCCGAAATTATTGCAGAATATGTACTTAATCAGCAAAATCCAAAGTATGACTGGAATGACGACGAACATATTGAAAGCGATCGATTTTTAAAGAAAAGACGAAGTTCGGACGATTATGGATCAACTCCTCCAAACAAGGTTAGTAGAATATAACATAAATTTAACTAGCAAAAACATCTTGTAAATCTTTTGCATATGTGCATATATCAGAACTATCAACGAGGGGGCTTCTCAACGAAAAAGATACGATAGTAATTTACCACCCCGCGACGAAGATTATTTTTCATCAGAATCTAACTCCGAGATCGTACCTGTTTCTCTTACGAACGTCTTTCTTGAAACTTCTGTCGAGCTTAAGAGGATTCCAGACCAGACAGCCGAATCGGACACACTCCTCCTCCTCATCAAGCCAAATTCAGTTTAATAGCGAGGATAATGATTTACATGATCAAGATGAGAACGAGAATGCATCAACCGAGGTTCAAGACCTCATCACAAAGATGTAAAATGTAAATCATCGTCTTTTTGAATATCGTATTGTCAACCTATCCGAAAAAAGTTTTGTAGATCCAATAAATAAAGTCTTTTCTGATTATGATAAAAGAATGAGAAAATTCTGGGAAGAGGTATGTATTATATTGACCATCAGCTTTAGATTGTAATCAGTAATAATCTTGCACGTTCTTTAGATGGAACCATCGGCCAAAGAGAAGAAGAATACATTGCGTCAACCTAGGTGGGAAAAGAGTATCAAGCCTCTAATTGACAAGTATGCGCTTGCTGTTGAGGTAAAGCCAGAATCGTTTTTGATGATTGTGTTCAGCCACCATCAACAAAAATTATCTTCGAAATACCATTCGAGGGCGAGTTTGATTTCAAAAAACATTATGACATGTTATGGGTACAAGATATCAATCGGCGATTGTAGGTATACCGTATACCTTATTTACTTAGTATAATGAATTAATTAATTTCTGTATTTTATTATAGCATGTTCTTGTTCGCCTTATCTTTTAACATGCCTCGCGATGCGAATACATTGGAGGTAGCTTACAGAGAATCATTTGTTAATCCTATAATTCCCAAGGCATTCGAGGATGTGAACGACAAGATCAGGTTCGAAATGTATGTTATTATATTCTATATAGTTTTAATTTATTGTATTTATTCCCGATGTAACGAACTCTTGATTAACCGAACATAATATTTTCCTAGTGGAGATATAGAGAGCGCACTACGTAAACAACATCGAAACCAGACAAAAGGCCAAAAGCCTCGGGTAATGCTTGGGCCAAAACATGATAGGATTCTAAAGATTTACATGAATGCAAGTGAGAGAGATTGGATTCTTAGAGGTTGTAGGGAACGCAATGGTTGTGGATCTTAAAAAATGTCGCGAAGACATGGAAAAATTATTTAAGGGTTTGTAATTGTTAGATATTCACGTCTTTAATTCTTTATGCAGTAAAGTTCATGGGATCTTTTTATCTTTCTAGCGATGCAGTTGTCAATATTTTACCAGAGACAGCACCACCTACGACGTAATGCAACAGAATAACAACTTGAATGCCTTCAAAGTTTTGGTGTACTTGTGTACCGTACGTAGCGTTCGTGCTGTACTTTTTACCGATTCAAATTATCCATCATATTTGCCCTGTCATTTTAGAGCGTGAGACAATAATCTACACAATGCACCGTTGTAAAGGAGGTTTGCACATTGTTGACATCCTTACAAATTTCACGATTCCGGACAACAAGGACCAGGTATATGTGCTAGATGAAATCGTAGAAAAAGTGTATCTTTTAAAGGTATAAGTCCTGGTAATCAATATATAGAATGTTCGTTGATCTAACATTATATTTGGCTTTATAGAGCCGTGTAATAGATTATTACCTTAAGTTGCAGGAAATCTCGCGGAAGGCGCAGAAATATGCTCCCTCAAATGAAAATCCGTTAGAAGCGTCACCATCAAATAAAAAACAGCAAAACACCTTATTGCAAAAAGAATCAAAGATAGAGGAAATAATTCCCAAGAAACGATAATTTGCTTTCTACCTGTGACTGTTATTCGCAGTATATGATGGTGATATTGATTTTTTCCCTAGAGTATTTCTACTATACCTCTAATAATTTTTGCATTTTAATAAAACAAGCCGAGGCCAACCTTGTAATGAAACATAAGAGATTTCTGATGTAAATCCGCTTATCATTATTTAATACTAGCTAATAAATTATGTTACGATTGAGTCACGGTTAATTTATCGGACTATGACCATACATTAAAGATCTTGGATCTGCAAGAAGAGGCTTGTCGACACAGTATAAGAAATAACTATCCATGACACATCCTGATAAAAATCAGTCTTTAATTACATGTTCAACGGGGGATGTTCAGAATAGAGCAGTTATATCATTGAAGATAGGGCAACTAAGTCACCTTGTGAAAATCATGATATTAAATGTTGAGGTCCCCGACTTATAATAAAGACGTTTAATTATATTTTCTTTCATGTAACAATTACAGTACATAGATCATTGTTGATCAGCGGGGTGATTAACATATAAATTTTATTTTCAAAGTTAAGCATTATCACAATTGAATTGCAGTTCAATCACGGCTGATAAAAATAAAAAATTTCCTATGTATTTGGCACAAAAGGGTGCCTCAGAACTGCGATCACGACTCGATTACGACCCATCATGAGCTAAATCACGGTTTGCTTAAAAAGCGATGTAAAAATTTCAACAAAAAGTCTACTACTCAAAACATTAATCCATGAAGCAAGATCGGCCAATAATAATCCTCTTAGATCACTCGAAGTCCCTTCAGATTTCCTAACGTTATTAGATAGAGATATCATTGATGGGTTAGCTTGTGATGACTCGTGGAGCGAGGGTGGTAATATATCAGAGGAATCAGAGATTCTATGCCTCATCGTCCGTCGATAATGTGAATAAAAAATCGTGGATTACTTTTGGGCAATGGTTGGGTTTTAGGGAACCAATTAAAAGACGAACTGTACGACGGCATCTCAAGAATTTGTGGGGAAAGATTAGACATGCTCTCGACCTTCAAGAAATTAAGGATTTACAGTGTTTCTAATAGTGCCACTATGTGTAATACCCGAAGAGAAAAAACCCGAATTGTTATGTCAACACGTGAGAATTCTCACTCGTTGGATGGATTGATAGATTTTCGCTATATGCTAGAACCAGCGTGTATTGTGGACCCAGATAATCGAACTTTAATTCATTTGGAATATCTCAATGATCGTACTGCCAGCAACAAATGCGGTTAAGAGGTATTATTTTCATACCATAGAAAATTCATCACATAGAAGCAAGGAGTTTTGGTCCAACTTCATCTAACATTTTTGGAGCTTATACGGGAAATAATTTACTTCCTTTTACTAGCTCCAACACTACCTCCATTCATAATACCGAGCGCCAAAAATGCGTTGTTGATCTACTTCACGAGCTGGTATCAAGATCTGTTAATCGTTTTTTTCCAAGAATATTATGGCGAAATGTACATTAAGCTGAGTAATCTGTCATGAGGCCCATTCGCACCCAAAAGTTTCGGAATCTTCCCTATGATCGCATTTAACTTCAATACGATAAGCGACTTTCATTGGGATGGGCACGACGAAGTGAATTCTCTTTGCTGTTTAGTCGCATTGGGTGATTTTGAGGGGGGGAAGGGTGAACTATGCTTCCCTCAACTCCAGATAATCAATCATTCCTCTTCGGGTTGGCCAAGTCGTTGCATTCTCCTCCCGTCTTCTTTTACATGATAATTTTCCAGTCACGAGAGGGATCCGGCATAGTATCGTTTATTTTGTCCACAATACCTTCTTCCACCATCAGCGGGATTTCTTGAATATTTATAATGATCTCAGGGGTGGGATAGAAAGAGATGCTCGCGGGTCGATTGTTCCTATGATTCCTCAGCAAGACTCAATAACGCATGAGATCTAAATAACCGAATCAGACTTGACAAGCCAAAACCAAATCATATCTAAATTTTTCTTGGCAAAATTTCAGCAAACTTTTTTCGAAAAAATAATCAATGTTTGGATAATTAATTTAAGTGCACTTTTAATAAAATAATTTAATATTTACAATGACCGAAGCTGATATAATTATTGATTGCAGAAATAAGATCTGCTCTATCTAATGATAGGGACAAAGTCCCATTGCAACGCAATAATGCTTGCTTCATAAATGATCCACCGGGTCTATAAAGCCATTTAATTACTGCATGTTGGATTATTTTAGCTGAATTAATTTGTTTTTTCCATGAACGATATGTCTTCTGAATGATTAATGACGTACAATTTTTTTATACAATGCTAGTTGAACTTTAAAATTTCTATCTTCAGGGTCATTACCTATTTGTTTATGGCTGGTTAAATTATTTTTTATACGAAATACAAAATTTTCCCAGTAATCTCTATTATTTATTTCATATCCTAGTTTTAATAAACGCTTGCGTACATACTTTGGTGGATAATATTTTGCAAACTGTAATCATGCTTCCGATATTTTAATATTGCTAACAATATAATTTACACTTAACCTATCTCGTACTCCACAGTTAATTTCGTAAGATAAAATTCCCACGTGTTTTATTATGATATGATATTTTTTTTTTCTGTGTATATAAATGATTAGAAGATTAAGACCTGGTGCTACACGCTTATCACCCGAAGCAGTTAGTGATATAATTAAGCAAATGTATTATCGAATCTAGCTAAAATATATAATGTATCATATGCACGAATTCATGAAATATGGGGATTCGCTATTGCGATAAATAATTAATATTTATTGTATTACAATAACTTACAATACAACATGGTACGAAATATAAAAGTTTACCCAATATTACCGATAAAGTGGTATCTGACATTGTTAAGTATTGGGTAAATAAATCTGGATCCCTCTTCACCGATTACTGAAGATAGTGAAACCCGAGATTCAGCAAGATATTATAAACTCGATAACAAACCCAGACATTTCTCAAAGAAATCATATACCATGTAAGGCTAAGAGAAAAAGGAAAATTTTAACTAATACTGCATCTGAATCCTCATTCTTGTCTTTATCCTCATCTGGATCTGATTCTGAATTAGCTAATTATGTTGAAGATTTTACTAATAAAGCAAGCTTGTTGGCAATTATTTTAGATCCTAGGTTTAAAATAGAATATTATAAAATGAATAAGTGGGAAGAAATAGTTAATGAAATTAAAGAACGGTAAGTATATTTTTATATTTTATTAAATATGATAAAATAAATATTAAGTATGTTACAATTTTAAAATTTTTTAGAAACTTTTCAAAAATACAAGAAGCGTAACATAGAAAATACTGCATCAAGCAATGGCAAAGATATCCAAGGGACAGTTAGTTCAAAGTTGTTTAAATGATGTCATATAGAAAAATCAGATGAATTGCAATTGCATTTTTCTCTTCCAAATATGATTAATGAAATCGATATATTAGAGTAATAGAAAATATATGAACACAATTTCCATGTTTAGCTCTTATGGCACATGATTATTTGGTAGCACTTGCAACAAGTGTTCTATTGGAACAAGTCTTTTTAGTAAGCAAAAATTTAATAACCAATAAAAGAAATTGGCTATTGGGCAAAACAGTTAAGATATGCATGTGCTTGAAATCATGGTGAAAAGGGTCTTTGGCAAGGAACATTAGTCAAAATTATGTCATTTGACAGCTGAATTATTGCTGAATTTAATTAAATTTAATAATAAAAATATTGCTGAATTCTTTTCGATTGCTACTATTTGACATATTATATTTTAGCAATAAAGTGACAATAAAAAATTCAACAATTAAAAATTTAACAATCAAAAACTCAGTAATTAAAAATTTGGCAATCAAAAATTCGGCAGTCAAAAATTTGACAATCAAAAAATTTGGCAATCAAAAATTTATTAATTAAAAGTTTAACAAAAAAATTCATCAAAAATTCAATAACTATTCAGCAAAAATTTATTAAAAGTTCATCACAAAATTATTTATTAAAAATAATATTAATTTATTAACAATTTATCAAAAATTCATCAACTATTCATTAAAAATTCGGCAACTATTTATCCAAAAATTTATAAAACTTGTGAAAAAAATC